GGAGACGGGGTTGGGGGAGAGAGAGAGAGATGTGAGTGAGAAACACTGGCTAGTTGCCTCCCATCTGTGCCCTGGCCGGGGATCAAACTCGAAACCTGGCTATGAGCCTTAACCGAGACTCGAACCCACCACCTTCCAGTGCTCAGGATGACACCCCAACCAACTGAGCCACCTGGCCAAGGCAAGAACAGATTTTAAAAAAATCCAACATGACTGGGGTCATTAAGAATAGTGGCCACCAACACCAATTCCTCATCAGCATGTACGATGTCACATTAGGCACACTGTGGAATAATGACAGGAGGTATTAGGAAACGTTTCACTTCCATGTATTCTGCTAAAGACAGAGTTATACCCAAAAGAGTTAAACATTATATGTTTTGTTAACTTAAGAGGCAAATCTAGAGTTCTCTGGGAAACCCCCTTATTCAGAAGGGCTGATTTCCTCTGAAGGGGTAGTTCCAGATGGCTCAGTGACAAAAACATTCTATTAAACAAAATTTGTCCAAAATACCTTTTCCTATCAATTAGTCCTGTGCATTGATCTTAATTCAATTTCATGGGCTTTCATGAACAATACTGAATATTACGTGTCTCAAGAGAGTTTTAACGAGCCTCAGACTTCCGTCCCTCTCCTGTATTTTAATGGCACATGCTCAACTGTGATAGCCAAGGGTCCGGTTCCCTGTCTCTGTTACCCAAGGCAACTCACACACAGTTCTAGCTCTTCTCAGCATGAAAGAAGGAAGAGGAATTGGCGGCAAGAATACTGCTGCGCAGCAGAGGTTTCAAAAGCTTTCTTTACGTGTGCGATCCCCCTCCGACTTCTCCACTAACACACGCTGTCTAGACGGAGCCGCCCGGTCTGCTCATGTGACAGGCCGGCCATCGCCGGCTGCGGCGCTGTAGTGCACACCTACACCTGCTGCCTAGCGGCCCTCCCGTCCCCACTGCTCACACCCAAGGTTAGGGCTGTGAGCCCCGACCACCACCTGTAGTGTGACCATCTCCTCTGGCCACAGCTGATGATGGACGGGGTAGAAGTCTGACCACCTGGGCCAACCAGAGAGTCCCTTCTCTGGAATCTGAAAGCATCACCATCTCTCTGGGAGACTGAGAGTGTAACAGCACATAAGCCTGGGAGTTCGGGCCTGTGGATCAAAGAACTCAGGGAGTCAATCTGCGGGGGTGAGAATGAAGCCATTTTCAGCGAGGGGCCGACGTAAGAGGCAGGAACAGCATTTGGACAGCTTTCCCAGGCCACCCTCTAGTGCTCTCCTTGGCCCAACTGTCCGGCTTCCACTAGATGCCCCTGTCCTTAGAACAGGCTTCCTACTCTGCTGTGCCAGCACGCGTTGTTCCTGCTCCTTGTGACCGAAAGGCTCCCGCCACAGCTGCGCATGGGCAGCCTGCAGGAGGGCAGAATTCGAACCCCTGCAGCCACATACACTATAGTCTAGCCACACAGTATCCTTAAGCAGACATCTCAACTTAGGACGACAGTGTGACCAAGCCTGCCCTTACCTGCAGATGTCACTTTTCCTCATTGAATGTTCTCACTATGAAGTCTCTACGAGGGAACACTGTAGTCAAGTGTCATCTGCAACAAGTTTAGTAGGAATTTGTGGACAAACATAGGAGGAGGGAAGACACATTTGGCCACCATCTCAGACAAGAACAAGCCAAGGGAAGGGGCTGAGTGTGAGCCTCTCCTGGCCACCGAGACCTCCATTTCCTGGGCAGAGTAAACCATCGATCCTGACAAGATGAGCGACGTGCTATCAGGACCCAACCGCTGGGGAAATGGCAGGCAGAGGTGCCCCTGGGCAAGGCCTCCACTGGAAGGAACAGGCAGGCAGAGGAGGTGCACATGGTTTCCCAGAACATGCTGACTGGGGCCCATGGAGAACACACAGCACCCCTGCCAGGGCTGCTGTGTCACCCCTGGGTCCCCCTTTCCAAGAGCCCGGAACGCCTGTGTGTCTCCTGCCTGCTGAATGACAACTATGGGCCTGGGCTTCCTCGGTGCTTGACACTCAGTGCCTGAGTGTGTGACAAAAAGAAGAATGGAAAACAGAAGGTCATTTTTTCACCTTCTAATGATCAAAACCTTGATATATATTTTTTGGCTTTGAGACTTTTGGCAAGACTTCAGATTTTTCTAGCTGCTTCAGACTTTGTATTTTTATAGGAGCCACGGGACCAGCCCTTTCAGTCCCGCCACCCGAGGAACCAGGGGTCCACTGGCTTTTAATGACCTGCCCCAGGCCACCTGGCTTACACAGGGGCTAATGTGAGGGGCCAGGGCCTCACTCCCAGTCTGAGCTCTTTCTACAACACGAGCCTCTCCTTTCTTTCTCCATTTCTCTGCCGCTGCTCTGTTCCAGAACCACACACACAACACCCTCCATTTTTCAGGGGTAACAACTGGGTATCACCAAGTGTCACCTCAGAAGGGTCCTTCCCGACCGGCCACCTAGAGCAGACCGCCAAGCCCAATCCCCGTTTTATTTTGATTACAGTACATACACTTTCCTGTTCATTTTTCACCACCACCCACACAGCAGTGTAAGCACCCTGAGAGCAGGGAGCCCCTGTGCCTCATTCAACACTATTTCCAGGTCTTACCGCACAACCCGGCATTTATTAGGTGCTCACTAAATGCTGAATAATGACAAAGCAAGTCAACTACTATACATATCAAAGTTTCTGATTCCTAAAAAGAAGAGAAAGGAGGGAAGGGGAGGAATATTATCATTCGTAATTTACCGAAATCTCTATGAATACAAATCTTAGCTCCTCTCTGCTCAGTAATTCTCATCAAGTGACTGCCAGTGCTGCTCTCCAAAGCAGGGCGGTGCGGGGAGAGTGACTTCAGATGCTAAAGGCCAACCCAGCAGTCAGGGGAGAGTTTCACTAGAGGGTCTGAAGACATAAAGCCCCACCGTCTGGACCCTCACCTGGCAGCTGGTGGGAATTTTTGCTGGAGGAGGGTAGGGGGCACTTGATTTTGTTTTTCTGGGACAGATTAGAGAGGACACCTTAACTTTAGAAAGAAATAAGTGACAAGAAAGCACAATGACAGCTGTGACTTATTTTACCTTCTGTAAAAAATATATTTTCATTGATTTCAGAGAGAGGAAGGGAGGGGGAGAGAGAGAAACATCAATGATGAGAGTCATCGATCGGCTGCCTCCTGCACACCCCTCACTGGGGATGGAGCCCGCAACCCGGGCATGTGCCCTGACCGGGAATCGAACAGTGACCTCCAGGTTCATGGATCAACCCTCAACCACTGAACCATGCCAGCTGGGCAACTGCGACTTATTTTTTAAAAAAGATGTTTGGGATACATTCTAGGACAAAAATATACTCTGCTTAATCCTCTAATGTAAAATACTACGTAATGTTAATCAGTAAGGACACAAAATCAAGTAACTAACTCTGGAATATGGAAACACAGTGTTTCATGATTTGTAATGGAACTAGCATTAAAGATGTTGATGCGAGTGAGTGAATGTGGGTCCTCGGCACACTGCGCGTGGGAGGGTCCTGCATTTGGAGGAAGAGAACAGAAGGAGGGCTGCTGTCCATACCTGGATCAGGAATTAATACAACGTCCTTTCAGAAAAAAAGCAAAACCCCCCACAAAGTCCTGTGTGTGTGTGATTGTCACTAGAATTACTTCCATTATGATGCCATGAGCTTCTGGGGGCAGGACCTGTGACTGAGTCATCTTTCTGCTCCTACCAACCAAGCAGGGAGGCCTGCTCAGAGTAGGCCCTTAAATAATAGCTGTTAGGGTGAATGAAAAGGCGGGCATCGGTGGTATTTCTTGGATACCTTGTTTGGCCACCTAGATGAAGGAATGATGGATCCTCTTCTCACTCAGAGAAAAGCCTGCCACTCCGCATTAGTTTAGAAGAGTTGTGTTTAAAAAATTGATCTTGAGATTGATCGATTAGTTGTGCCACGTATTCACACACTCACTGGTTGATTCTTTTATGTGCCCTGACCCGGGACCAAGCCCACAACCTTGGTGTATGGGGACCGCGCTCTACCCAGCTGAGCTACCCAGCCAGGGCCAGAAGAAATCTGATGTCACAGAACCGCAGGGGTGGGTTCTGAAGAACCGGGAGTGGCAGTAAGATCGGGAAGCTGCACAGAGGCAAGGGCACGTGGGCCAGGTCTCAGTGCGGGTGGCGGAGGGATGCAGGCGCGTGGCACAAACACAACGGCAGGTGTAGGTGTTATGATTCCCGCTTCATAGATGAGGAAAATGAAGATTACAAGCTGAAGTAGAGCCCTGGCCCGGTGGCTCAGCTGGCTGGAGCACTGTTCCGTACAGCAACAGGTTTTGGGTTTGATTCCCGGTCAGGGCAAATGCCTAGGTCACAGGTTCAAGCCCCGGTCAGGGTGGGTACGGGAGGCAACCGATCAATGTTTCTCTCTCTCTCTCTCATCCTCTCTAAAATCAATAAAAACATCTTAGGGTGAGGATTGAAAAAAAAAGCTGAAGTAGACTGCCCAGGCAAACAGATCTATTTGGTACTCAAATCTCTGCTGGCTCCTTTGGGAAAGACCACTGACATTTCAGCACCAAAATTCAGGTCTAAAGATTAAGTAGGAGCCACCTGGTTCCAGCCAGGAACCAAGTGACCTGCAGGCCGGTGCTCCCCTCAGTCACTGTAGACGGATCCCTTCCTTCCTCAGGCAGGCACACAGGCTCTCCAAGCACAGGGCAGAGTGCGCAGCGGCCTCCACCTACCTGGGAACTGCTAATAACTCTGCCTGGACTGAGCACAGGACTCGGAAGGACAGGCAGGAGGTCAGGAGAGGCGGAGAGCAGAGGGGCTGGAGGCAGGATGCCGAGGGGAGGGCAGCGGCAGGGCGGCACTAAGTGGTTTGCACTTCACCCTTCAGACGGTGAAAAGCACTGACTGTTTTTAGTCAGGAAGTGACACAATCAGTTTGGGTTTGAGCAGATTCCTCTGGGAGCTGGCCGAAAGCAAGCCTGGAGGCAGGAAAATGACACAAAAGCTATTGCAACAACCCAATGGCAAGTCTGTGCTCCTGAGCTGGGCCATGGCAGTGAGGAGTTCGAGAGGAAAGCCAGACAGACCCAAGAGACAGAACGGACAGCACCTGGATGTGGTTGTGTGAGAGAGAACAGAATCCAAGGTGGCTCCTTTGAAAACAATTGTCACCGGAAGAAAATGCAGACACACTGTGGATTTAAAGCTTAGCAGAGACCAAATCAATTACAAAGCCAGGTTCCCTGGACTGGTGGTTATGTGGTTAAAAGTAAAATTAGAGCAAAAGGGGATGAAATAAATATTACTTGTAAATAGTAGAGAGAGCTCTAGCAATGGTTACCAATAAAGAAAAAACTTGATAGCAGAATACAGTTAAGTAGTCCCCATGCCATATTTTTAAAATATTAAAAATAAATAAAGCACATCTTTCTTTCTCACTAGAAACAAATAAATTACTTTTAAGTACCTATATGTTGTCTCAATTGAAAAGAAGTCTCTAACGAGCAAAAAGTGCCAAGTCCTGAGATAGAATGGCCTGGCTCCTCGCACCCGGCCCTGGGTTTGCTGAGGAAGACCTGGTTTTGCTTGCTGGTCTGTGGTGTTTGTTTGTTAAACAGGCAGATTTGCCACTCATTGGAGTAAGGAATGGCTGAGAAGACAGTGAAGGATATGGGAACAGAGAAAGATTAAAGGGCAAAGTGGGAAGAAGGGGAGAGATAAACGCATACCATATTGCAAATTCATAGCCGGTATAAAAACCATCAGTTTTTAAAGCGCTAATTTGATTTTGGTGGAGTTTCCTCTTTAAAGGAGCAATGCTGAGTGAGCAAGGAGATTCATAAGCAAGTGCCTCTGTTCATAACTAGTGTCAGCAGTAGGACCAGAGAGTCGTTCTTACCATGTTTCAGATGTAGGCAGCTGTCATTCTTGGACCTGTACCTGCAGAAAATTGTGTCTTTAACAAATTTTTACTGAAGAGGTTTTGAACATTCCAAATACGTAGTAGCTACAACATCATGTGGACTGTTTGCTTTACTTTTTATGGTTCTTATACCAGCCGTTTTATTTGTGAAGTACAAGTGGCCTTACTTTTAATGAAAGAAAAAGGGGAAATAAATCGGACCTCACTGAGTGACACCTTGAATTAGTGTACAGGAAAGATAAACCCTATCATCATGTTTTATATTTTTAAATAACCTGAACCACAGAAAAGATTCTCAAGGGGATATAAGGGAGCATATTATAGAATCATAATAACAATTTTACTGTAAGGAGTTATGCAAATAGAAGAGCAGACGTGTTAATAAAGCAAAGAGAACATAGACAATGGAAGCAAAACCCAAACAGAACAAACCACCACAGCTGGCCAGAGCTCTGGGTGACGGGTGGGGAAAGGAGTCCTCAGATGTGCCTCCACAAAGTCACACTGAAAAGAAGGTCTCCGAAACATCTTTAAAGAATTTCAGGAGGAAAAGCAGAGTTGAAGTATCACAAGATACAGCTGCAGAATAAAGCAGTGTGTGTAGAAAGATGCAAACTACTTCAAAGGTGTTTGTCAGAGGCCTGAGAATGGACTGAAAAGTCACACGGTGCCTACCTGATGTGGATTCCTGCAGCTTCTCTCTCTTCCTCTTCTTTTTCTTACCCTGGAAAACGACAGGCATGTTTCATGTTACTAACTGTATACTGTGAACACATGGGTGAAGGGGGTACAAAAATACAGGCGGGCAGTCAACAAAGAGACAAAGATGCCTCACAGTCTCTCCCCCCCTCCCCTTCCCTCTCTCCCCATCTCCCCGCTTCTCCCTTTGCCTTCCTCCCACCCCCGATCTGTACCTGGAAACTGTCAGAAAGCAAGAGAAAAAGAAAATAAATTCTTGTTTCTTTGTGACCTTTGTCTCTATCACTTCATATGAATATCATCAGTACTGACACTGGAGGGGTGTCTCACACATACTCAGGAAATACCATGTCCTAGGGCTGTGGCCACAGAACCGATTAAGGAAAACCTGCTTAAGGAGGCAGAATTTTCGTTTCTAACCACCACACTTAGAACCCACTTCTGCTAGTGTTCATGATAAATTTCCTCACTGTGAATTCCACCACACACTGACAAGTTCAGGATGCTAACTGAGGACCCTCAGCCCCGTGGAGCAGGCAATGACATGACTGAGGCTAGTGGTAGAAGGGTAAGATCGAACTTGAGAAAACTAAAGGTAATTTCAAAGGTGTATTTCTGGCAATTAAGGACCTTGCTTCCTAAAACAGACACAATAACATGGATATGCATGCAATTTTAAATACATTTCAAAATCAACTTAATCACAAATTAAAAATTTTAGGTCCCATTTATAGTGGTCTAATTTTCTATACTTATGTTCCCCTCAAAAAATAATTGTCATAGGGCACAGCCAGTACATATTTAATTTATATGAATACTAAATAACCAACCTGGATGAGGGTGGCATTTTCAAATAACTGTAACAGAACCCATATCACATCCCACATCTCTATCTTATGTCTGCTGCAATAATCACATTGACACCCCCTGGCCGGGTGGCTCAGGTAGCTGGAGCGGGTCCCCTACACCAAAAGGCCGCAGGGTCAATCTCCAGTCGGGGCGTGTGCGGGAGGCAACCAATCGATGTTTTTCTCTCCCCCTCCCCTCTAAAAAGAAACATATCGTCAGTTGAGGATGAACAAAAATATAAAAGAAATAAAATCACATTAACAACAAAAAATAAAATGATAAGGTCATATTGAATACACTGTGTGACTACATGAAGGCATGTTTATAGACACTCAGGGCAGCGTTTCTTCATGTCACATGACCTGACCGCTGAAGCCGTGGATCTTTGGGAAGTTGCCTGAAACTATCCTCACAAACACCGAGGCAGCCAGCAGGCACCAGTGACCCTGGGAAAATCCGAGGTTACTGAGGGTGCTCTGGGAGGGGAGCAGGCAGGGAGGGCACCTGCCATCCCCTTCCAAAGGCAATCGCTGCGGCTTTCACACGGCGCTGCGAGGCTGCTTCATGTCTGGACCCGCCTCCTCACCTTCTCCTCATACCTCCCATGTGGCCTTTAACACACCACAAGTGTCCTCTTTTCCAGGAACACCTGTCTCCCCCACCCACCCTCACACAGAGCTCGCTGCCATAACCTAACTCCTCATGGGTGCTGTGCTGGGCCGTGTCCCCGAGTCCCGCACACGCAGCCAGAGTCAGCAGGCCGCTGCCACCTGGCGCGCGCTGAGAACGCGAGGCTGCGGCCTCGGTGAAATAACCTAGACTGCACCCCAGGGGCAATCAGGTGTGTCAAGAGAACCTACATTTACAGTAAGCAAAAAGAGCCAAGTAGTTTGGATGTATTAATAGCAACCTATACGAGAAAACAAAATTCATGGGTGGTAAACATAAAAATATTTTTCATAAAATTATATCTAATACTAAAGTTATTAAGCACTAAATTTAAAAGCTCTAATAAATATTTGGCTGATCTCACCTAAGAAAACAGGTGCACTGCTGTTGATTTATGGAAACTTCAGTTATAAAAATTATAAAAAAACCGAAGTTATAAAATCTATGATGCCATACAGGGAGGATCAGGAGAGCATTCTAACACTAAATGCTAAGATACAATAAGGAAGGTCTTTGTGTAGACTTTTCTTATTCTATTATTTTAAAAATACCTTTAGCTAAAGTGCTATCACTTGATTGACTTCTGTTTGCCTAAGTAATTAGTAGGCTTATTTTGATTTATTGTAAAAATTGTATGTCACAAAGCTAAAATCAAATTATGCAAAATAATTTTTTTTTAGAAATTATGCAGATCAATAACTCTCATCACTGATGTTCCTATCTCTCTCTCCTCCCTCCCTGAAATCAATAAAAACATATTAAAAATTAAAAAAAAAAACTGTGCAGAAGAAAATCTTTCAAGGTAAATTCACATGACTTTAAAACTTCTGAACTCTCCACATGGAAGAGAAGAAGAGAGAGAGGGAGGGAGGGAATGTTTCTTTTATCTCTTTTTAAGAGTAAAAACTCACTTCTTTACTTAAGGATCAGAACCAGAAACTTCACTCAAAGACATTCAACAAGCAATGCTCATTACATCTGTATAGACTCATAGCACAGCAAAGCTCTTCCCTGGGTCAGAGAGAAAAGGTCAGCTCTCCCCTTTCAGGCAAACCATATACCGAAGACATCCAGGACAGGGTTACAAGAGGACACTTCTGAAACTGATTCCCACTTAAAGGGCATGACAAAGCATCTACCCAGAAGATACTAATTACTGCCCCAAGAAGAGAAGCCCAGTTCAGGGTAGAAAACTCTTCAACTAAAGTAGACTTCTTAAGAAGGCCCTGGAAGACTAACTAGTCTGCTCAGGAGATGCTGAAGTCAGGGAGACCCAGGTGTAACTTGCAGCTAAGCCATACAGTTTCCCTCATCTGTAAAATGCAGTAATGCTATTTATGCCACAGGATTATTATAAGGATTAGAAAATAACACAGAAAGCATTTAAACAGTTCTTGACTATTGACAATATGGTAGTTATTAAAACAACAACTCAGGAGAGCTGCTGAGCTGCTGCTCGTAAGAAACACACAGTAGGACTCTTACTTCCTGTATCATGGTTGTATCCAGTGTTTAAGCTCCAAATCCTGACCAGTAGTGAATTATTCTTCGGAGCATGTCACTGGAAACAATGTGTTCCAAAAGTCCTGGTGTCTCATTATATGGGACACATGACCTCAGACATGCAGCCCATGGGGATACCTACAACAATGACCCCCATGTTATACTACACATTGATTAATGGTGTCACCTCGTCTTTTTTAAAAGGGGCAATTTCATGTAAGACTGTCTTAGCTGACATTTCATTTTGAATGCTAGTTTCACATGGGAAATGAAAATGTTCTTCAAATTTTTAAATTAAGAGCTTAAGTAGCCATAGTTGTTCCCCTGTATCACATATCATTTATAAAATACTTTTGTAGAAATATTTTGCTGTATTAAGACTACATAAGTAAGATGTTCAAACTCTAAAGTAGTAACATAATTGGCAATATAAATAAGGCATTTTTGCCAATAAAATTAATACAACTTTAAAAATAGGATATCTACTCTGAATAAAATACATAATAAACATCAGAGTACTTTAATATGAAAAAAAATGTTACCCCCAGTACTGATTAGTATGTGGAAAAACAGTCACTTAAATACACTGTTTGTAAGAATTATAAAGTAATATAATTCTTTTAGAAAGCAATTTGACAATATGTATCAAGAACCTTTAAAATATTTATATACTTTAACTCAACAATTCAACTACTATAACTTTATCCTACAGAAATAATAATCCTAAATACAGAAAACTGTTATGTCCAGGTATACTCCTTGTAGGATTATTCCCAATTGTAAAAAAATAGAAAGCAATTTAAATATCTGAAAGCAGTGAAAATGGTTACCTGTGACACTCAATGAAATACTGTATAGCCATTAAGACTGATATATAGAAACACTATGGCATAACGAAAAAGTACTTCTATGTAAGAGCAAGAAGCATGACACAAGTATATGTACACACACACACACACACACACACACACTTATAGCCAAGTAAAAAATGAAAATGTATGCACAGAAGAGATTCTGAAGGTAATGTAACCAGTTACTACTAATGTTGCCCTTACATGATGAGTTTAAGGGCTTAAAAATGTATTTTTCACCAACATTTTATTTTTATTTATTTTAAATATATCTTTATTGATTATAGAGAGGGGAAAGGAGAGGGAGAGAGAGAGAAACATCAATGATGAGAGAGTCACTGATCAGCTGCCTCCTGCACGCCCCCGACTTGGGATGGAGCCCGCAACCCGGGCATGTGCCCTGACCGGGAATCGAACCCCGATCTCCTGAATCCTAGGGTAGACGCTCAGCTACTGAGCCACACCTGGCCGGGCTCACCAACATTTGAATGATAAGGTATTTGCTTTGTTTTGTTTATGAAAGAAAACATAAGGTGTTCTTCTTATTTAAAAAGTTTCACTTAAAAAATTTACTAATACTTATAGCAAAAAATAACTGTGACAGCTCAAAGCTTTCAAAATGTGATATATCCATGAAATCTTTATTATAAAGTCCATTAACTTCCAAACTAGGACATAGTACCAGCATTAGATTCATGCAAGTCACAGAAAGAAAGAACGAGAGCAGAGAGCCGCTGGTGTGCAGAGGGCCTTACATAATTGTCTCTTGCGGACCAGCCAGGATAAAGCTGCATATGTAGCTGTCTTTCCTTCCGCGCTAATTCATAATACTTAGCCTGTTCTTCCCGGGAGAGGGCATGCCACTAAAACAAAACAGGAGGGGAAAAACAAATACAAGTAAGCAAAGTAGAAACAGTAATATACATTTCGTGTTTTCAATACTGAAGAATGAAAATATTAAGCATTTCAACACTAATTTATTTTTAAATGGCAGAAGACCAAGTGCTGCAGACAATGAGCTGGAGTCTGATGGCTGGAGAGAAACTCAAACCTCGGTTTCTCTGTTCTGTTCTCTGATATCACATGAAACACATCAAAGTCCATCAATGTATCCAAAGTAAAATGATCTGTCACCCACCCTTTCTCTTCTCCAACACAAATTAAAAAGAATTTTCACTGTTGAACCTCAACGCCCAATTTAGCCCCTTTCATAGTTTGTAGCATATTGAGATATCTGAGCCTAAGTACCACTTATTTATGCAAAATGTGATAATTTCCAGATGTCTTTTCCACAGATACATCCTTGCTTCGCATGGACACTCTCCCACTCTGTCATATGAAAAGTCTGAAACCTTCCTCGTATTGATCCTGTCCATAAAGCAAGACATCAAAAGTCAGTCTGTCTGTCTGGGCCTCCTCACCCTCTCCTCACACTTACATAAATACTAATTGTCTACAGGGAGAACACTGATAACATTGTACAACCACACATGCACACCTTATGGGGCCGGTTTTCCGCCTCCTTCTGATGGAAAGCAAGGAGCATTATCTAAGTTTGTTTTGCCATCTGGCATCTCAGGCGGTAGCACCTGCTTTGGAGAATACAGTGCCTGATGGGCACCCTGCTAACTTTCCATTTACCCTTTACATCACTGATATATGCATATATAACCCAACTGCTTATGTAGGCAAGGCACCCGTTTGGGATTTTAAGCAGCTTATATTTGCACACTGCTTTGCATATGTTTGCACACAACTTACCCCAGGCCCCCAGTAGGCTGTTTCAGATATTTTTTCCTACTTCCTCAGTGCCCGGATCTGTCGCAGAAACTTCCAGGAGACCTGGCTGAGCTCTGGGGGACCCACTAACCAGAGGCGATGGGACCTCTAGAGGCGGCAGCTGCAGGAGCAGGCCCAAGCCCGCACCATGCACGCGTACATCCACGCGCACACTCACGCGGGCCTCGCTCTCCATCAGCCCGGCCCCCGCCTCCTGCTCTCCCCAGCTCTGGGCTGGGGAGCTTCCCATTCCACTCCTCCCATTCAAGGCTAGGCGAGTCTTTCTCATTTATGTCCACCCTGAATACTGATTTTAATTTCCCAGTTCTTGTTTTTAAAAATGATAGAACAAGAGAAAAGAAGAGAAAGGCGTGGCTGGATTGGGGCAAGGAAGGAGAAGCAGGGGAGAGACTGATGAGAAAGCTCTGCGGGAGGAGGCAATGTCTCAGTCCTCGGCACATGGCCTGGGCCCTGAAGGATGGCCAGGAAGCTTTCCTAGGAGAACAAACACCCACTGCTCTGGTCTGTCCAGAGAAGCGGATCTCTAGAGCCCCTTCTGCCACAGCCCACCCACCGCTCCAGCCTCCAGCAGGTCAACTAAGTCCATTTCCTTTGAAAGCCCCTTAAAGCCGGGGCGTCTGTGTCGGACAGGGTAGATGATTTATTTTTTACCTGCTGTAGAAGTGCAGAGTCTAAAGTTAAGAAGCAGGACACACAGCAGGACCTGGCCTGAACCTAAATCAGGTAATACGCTTTTCTTAAAAGAGAATTGGGGGAGGGGGCAGGGAGGGAGCAGAAGAAAAAAACAAACACCTGAAAAAGTTACCGGAGACCCAGTTCTTTGTACTAGCAGAGTAAACACACTGAGTCAAACGGAGCCTAGGAAGAGGCATGTCTGGGTCAGCTGTGGCAGTTTAAACTAGGCAAGAAAAGTAAGGACAGCTTTCCTAAGTCTGAGACACTGGCCTGGGGCTAGAGACCCTCACAAACAGCACAGGAAGAGAGCTGCCTTGACTGTTTTGTTGCTGTTGTTTTGTTTTGGGAAAAGACTAATCATTAATATTCACACAGTTCTGGTATTAAGTAAATGTGACTGGAAGGAGGCAGAGTGTTGCCAAAAAGGAACAAAACAGGAGACAGAAAGGAAGTAAAGTTACAAAAGAAGTCATACTTTATAAATTTGTTTATTCATTTGACAAGTAATCTCTCTCTTATGCTATCTCAGTATATCAATATAATCTTATATAATTTATGGAAGCTTTATAACTTGCTGAGAAAACCTGAAATGAGTTTTATAAAACATATCTGCCCAAATTTGGGAAGCTGGCTCTTCTACCCAAACAATCAGGTATTTTTCAGTGAAAGTAGAACTAACTTGGGTTGGCAAAAAGACCTGAGCTAACATAACTGAGCAACCTGCACAGAGAAAAAGCAGGGCACAAACTACACTATTTACTTGCGTTTTCAATTGCTTTTAGTTTCCCGGTATTTCTAATGTTCAGAATCTGGTCACAGTAAAAGAGATCATTTACCAAAGTAAAACAGTAGGTCAAACAATGGTATTCAAGTTTTGCAGTGAAACAAAAATAAAGTGTAGTACAAACTAGAAAGATGGTCTTTCTTTACAGGAATTTCTGAAATACACCTGACTAAAAAATGCTTTTCTATACTGAAAAATTAAGTTAATTTTTTTAAAAATTAAATTTCATTGTCAAGATTTACCAAGTTGTTGAGAAAATATCCACTTAACTTGAAGAAATTTATACAGTTCGAAGATTTAAAAAACTTGACAATACATTTGCAATAAATAGACTTCCTTTAATAGCCTGGAAGGCCTAAAAAAAAAGAAAAACTTATCTTGAAGCTAGATTTTGTGTTATTATTTATAATACGAAAAAGAAAACTTATTAATTCCTATGAATAAACATTTTTGTTTTAAAGATACAGTAAAGATGCATAAAAACCCAAAGATGAAATGCTCAGGGGATGGATTTAAGTTCTACTTCTAAGAATTATAATTACCCCAGTGTAAAACGTCATGATTTTAAAGCAAGGAACTTTAAAGAATTAGCAAGGACTACTCTGCCAGAGGGGTTATGAAAGGAGAGAAAACCTGATCTTAATCAAAGATCTCAGAGACCTATAAATAGAAACAGGTGTCCAAATCAAAGACAGAGAAAGACCCCAAATGAGAACCATCCCTAAGGACACATGCTCTGATCTGGGGATTGTTAAGGGAGCTGAGAAAGTAGCAACTGTGGGAAACGTGCATTAAGAATAGGAAGCATACCTCCACGTCGTATCCCTACTACTCTCTCAAGCAGGTAAAGGATTCCTGCTGGAGGGACAGGGGACCTTTAACTCAAAAAAGGAAAGAGAAAAAAAAAAAGCTAAGAGTTTTATGGAAGCTGAAATAAAAACAACTCTTCCTTTCCTCTGATTTCTTCTTTTAAAGGGTCAGGGGAAATGGTCATCAGTCTAAGCTTTTAAGGCGTAGTTCTTCAAAGATGACGGGAATCACTCATCGGCTTGGAAAATCATTGTAATTACTGTTATTAAGTGTTTAAGAACCCACAGGGACACACAGTATTGTCCGCAGGGCACCAAAAAGCTATAATCTGTCACGGCACCCTGACCCTGGAACCCTGGCGTCCTGCACATTGGAAATAGCTGCATTTTTTGCCACCCAACAGGAATCGCTAATGCAAGAAAGCCTGCCCTCCTCTGCCCGAAATCTCCTGAGTGCTGAAAGGTATTAGGTTTGTAGCAAACACGGTAAAAATGATCATCAATAACAGCTAAAGCATGGTCCTCTAGGTTTCACAAAGGTTGTCAGACCCCCATCATCGAATGTTCATTTGCAAAATAGGAATTTGGGAGGCTGTGAAAACAAATACACGCAGGCATAGTTAAGCAGCTACCACACATTTATAAAGAGTGTCAACAAGGATGATGAAGCACTTCTCAAATTATAATGTAATTATGGAGAAATGTGATTTGAATTAAAAAATTCAATTTTTTCCCACCACTCACTCTGATACCTAACTACAACCATTTCAATCCTGAGAAAAATACCTGGAAAGACCGACTAGCCTTTTGGCTGGTGGCTGGATTAAAAAAATCTTAGTGTCTGTCCTAGTTGCAGCCTAATGCCTGGTGCATAATGTGCGCTCAGAAAAGTATCTTCGCATGGGTGGCAGAGGGATATAAGGAAAGGGGCAACCCAGAAACCTGGCTCCTGTACTCTTCAAGAGTCAGAGTGATTTTTCTAGAATAAAGATTTCTCTGGCCCGTATAAATTCTTCCACTCAAAGCTTCTGACTGGCACAGATCCGCTTCTATCTTGGAAAGAGGGGCCCCCATTCACCAGGTTCACGCAGAAGCACGGCTATCTGTTCAAGGCCTTTCTGTCGCTCCCCATGTGGGCTCAGAGCTTCCCTGCTTCAGACATGAGTCCACACGCACGCACACACGTACGCGCACACACACACACACACACACACATGCACGCGGCTCTCCTGCGGAGCCCTCCATCTCTCCCCCTAACACTTGGTTAACCCCTACTCATCCCTCAGGTCTCAGTTTAAATACTGTTTTCTCAGAGGGGCCCTTCCCTAGCCCTGTTATTCTTCCTCGTGGACTATTATTCTTTATAGTCACAGTAACTGTCACAGTTTTAATTATATATTTATCAGGTAATTATTTGCCTAATATCTGTATCCTGTCACAAAAACTTTAAACTCCATGAAGACAAGAAGCATTATCTATTTTGTTTGGCAATTATCATCTCACTGCCGGTGCCCAGCACATAAAAGACAATAAATACTTGTTCGAAGAGCGCTAACAGGGAAAGCGGTTCTCACTTACAGCAAGTGTCCTACACGCCAGGTACGCTCTAGGTTGCTTACAGGGCGTCACAGCACTTAATCCTCCAAAAGGGTTACCCCCGTATCCCGGTCCCCGTTACTCCCCAAAGTGGCTGCTGATGACCCAAACGCATCCCATGGCCGCCTGATACGCAAGCACACTGGGCAGTTTCAATGAAGCAGTTGCAGTTCCCACAAACGTAGTGACCATCTCACTACTTACCCTTCTGCCTAGGATCTGGTTGATGGCTGCACTTTCTTTCAGCGTACACTCGGCCACGACATTTGCTCTCATTTCTTTCATGTATAACATAAAAGCATTCAGAGGCTTCTTAATGTGAGGTCTTTTGGGCTCCTGCTCCTTTCTCTGTTCATGCTGAGGCTTCCTGAAAGGTGGATGGGGCGGTGGGGGGGAGGGGGGGAGGAGGAGGAAGAGACGGGAGGAGAGCAGCAGAGCATCTGTTTACATCACTAGTCAAACTTTGGACAGCCCTAGGCTCAGCCCCCAGACACCATCAACTTAGAAGAGCAGCTCTTTGTGAGTATCACCTGGTTTGAGAATGTTCACGGGGAGCTAAAGAAGTGTCAACACGAAGTGGAAATGGGGGTGCACAGCTGCTTCACTTAGGGCCCTGTGGCTGAGCTCCTCAGGAAAAGCGGAGCCTACAGTGTAAGTGGTCATTCTTCTTTCAGAAGTGAGGTTCTTAACTTTTAGGGGGTCAAGAGCCACTTTGAGAAGCTAATAAAACTTCAGACTTTCTCCCCCAAACAAATGCATGCTGGCTTTGCCCACATTTGCAGGGGTTTTACGGACTGTCTCATGCTTCTGGCCACCCCATCCTCTTGTCCCAGTCTGCAAACCTATGTTAAGAAACTCAGTTCCTAATCTCTTCAAGGTATTTAGCCCACAGTAACAGCCTGAGACAATCCTGGGCATTGTTCACCCCTTTCCCTGGACTTCTGTGCTTTCAAAGCCTCAAAACAGAGAAACTGCGTCCTGGGTGGGCACCAAACTCTCAGACCATTTCAGGTACCACCAGGGACTGGTGCCTGACAATCAGATCCAACTGAAATCGGGCAGTAAGTGGCTACATAGCTCAAGATTACTCAGTGCCTGTGCTCTGAAGATTGCTCCATTTGGGTGAGGTTCCCTTGATCTTTAGAGGTCTGTGCTCTTTTGCAATCTTAGAATCAAAATCAGCTGGCAATGAGAATCAGGCCATTAAAAGCCCCCAGGAAGCAGACCTACACCTGATGTCCATAGTAAACGAGAGGGGAAGGTCCAGCAGCAGTGAGGAAGAAACTGTGTTTACATCCTCAGTGTCTCCTGCCACTCACAGGTGAGACCTCGTGCATACTTACACGTGCATCAGGTCACCGTCAGTGTGGGGGTGCTCCTGCTTGACCTGAGGTGTCACAATAGCTGGATGAGGGATGCCAGTTGTGTGGGGACCAGGTGGACCAGGAATCATGTGATGGGAAAACCTAAAAAAAGGAAAGAGAAAAAACAATATGTACTAGTGGCTACTGTAGCAAAAGCTAGATGGAATTTTGAAAAACCCACTAACAGTTATACATAGGAGTATGAACCATAAATTAGAGTAGGCTGATAATTTCTTTCCTTTCTGTATTCAGGTGGAAAATATTTATAATTATTCCCTGTATAACAACTTTTTCCTCCCAAACTGATAGTAGAACCTAGCATTTGTCCTGGGATGGCTCTAGGCCATAGGATTAAAAAAAATATTGAGTCATTTTTTTTGCAAAGCAGTTTTCAAACAATTTCAGTAAGAACAATAACATTGGAAATATAACACTTAAGATTTAGCTTTTCAAAGATTTTTAAATAAAAGCTAAAGAAATCACATTTAAAAACCTCTGCCTTTATTCCCAATCAAACCATCACAATGAGAGTCTTCTCATGTTGTTGGCTTCTTTCCTGATACTAGAATAATTGAGAAAATAAGGGACAGGAAGGTATTTTTCAGTCCCCAATTTAATAAGGTTGCTCTCAGCTTCATCCAGAGTAATTTTCTACACAGAGAGAATGTTTGAGAGATCTAGCCTTATGGAAAACTGATAACAAAATTAAGGAAAGGGTTTAATCAAAGGGAAGAATACATTCAGTTCCACATCAAGGTAAGAAGTACACAGGCTAAACAAAGGCTTTTTCCCCGAGAACGCTTGCAGGGCATAAAAAACATCTTAAAATATCCACCACCATCCAACACAAAGGAGGGAAACTGCCATGCAAGACAAATAAAATAAATAAAGGCCACTTTCAACAAGCGCTTTGGATAAATTTGGGTCTGCTTTAGAAATCTTTGCTTTTCAAACTATTTTAAAGTAAACAATTCAACAAGAACAACATTCTCAGGTCTTTCATCACAGCCTGTACAATTTATTCCTTCATCTGGAAAGGAAAGAAGGAACTCTGCTTGGATATGTAATATTTCAGGAACAAATTTTTAAAAATTAAGGTGGCATGGTAAAAACACAAATATTTGATCAAGTAATAATGTTTTGCTAAATGCACCATTTGCAAAAATACATGATGCCTGCAAGAAACTCCTGTCATCACATGGCTCTTACACTGTTAAAAAGTGTAAAAACATATTTGGGGGGAAGGATATTAATTTCATACCCTCCCAATTTGCTTGATTTACAATTTGCCGAACAAATAATGTTTTTTTAAAAAGCTGAAATTCACCACAGGAACTGCGAATTTCATACCTACATAAAAAGTAAAGATTCACAACCAGTTACTAACCCAAAAGCTTGGCTTCCGGCACGATGCTGCCCCTGGGAAAAGCGACATGGAACACAGATGCTACACCACAATGTGTGTACATCAAGCACAGGCACAGAAGCCATCCTCTCCAGAAGCAAGCGTCACACAGAGCAGGGTGGCTGCAGACCTCCCAGAGCTTCGCGGGCACTGTGTCCCCAACAGGGCCTGATTCACACACTAGGAACCCCCCCCCCCCAAACAAGGCCTGAGGGCCTGTCAGCACTGTTCTTTTTCTTCTGACAGCCTTGGTCCAGGAAGGCTCTAGACTACCTGGGCATTTTCAAATACTGTCACACTGAACTGATACAACTCTCCTTAGAGAAAGAAAATGATGGAACTCGGACCAAGCCAGTCTTTATCTTCCCCCTTACCACCCCCCCGTATATTTTGAGTAAAACAAGCTCTTATGCTGTCCACCTTTGGGACTTTCACATCCTGCAGCCTGGTCCTCTGGAGGCACAGTTTCCCGCGTGGCTGAGTCCATCCCCCTGGCGGGTGTGGCGGGTGCTCGCAGTTGGGGGGCAGAGTGCGGCTCCCACCCAGGAATCTCTAGGACACCTAGCGTGGGAGCCAGGCACACTGCACAGACAGACGCGTGGCTGAGCTGTGCACCCTCCTAGCCGACCAAGAGGCAAGCAGAGGCGCACGAGATGCAAGCGCAGGAGGAGCAACTCGTCCTGGGTGCCCAGTTTCCACCTCTACCTACCTGGACATGGAAGTGTCGACTGACAGTGAGGATGGGTAGGGTTGCCTGAATCCTCCCGTGATGGGATATACAGGCTGACCTTGCCTGAGGTCACAGAAGAAAGGAACCCATCAATGACAAAACACGAGCAACCGACCAGCAGTAAGAGTTTGACAAGGGCAGAAGAGGGAGGTATTCAAATAGCATTTTCATTACAGACCACAGCGTTTCTTCAGTTACCCAGTCGCACCCCTTCCTTACCCTCTGCCCAATCAAAGTGTCGTTTGCACCGAAGAAAATCGCCCGCCCGCAACTTTAAAAACAAACCCATCCATGAATCGCCCGTTATATCCCTTCCCCTCTTCCAGCCCCATTAATGCTTTGAACAAAGTAGGCATGTAACAAATGTTTATTAACTGTAACTGAACCCTGAGAATGGTGAAATATGCCTTTCAAAGAAGGTGAGTGGATTCTTTATCAGAATCTTTGACAATTTCAGGAAATAGAAGGAAGGAAATAAAACTTCATATTTATATAGAAATGAACAAATACTTTTTAAAAAAACACTGCACTCCCTCCCCATGTGCCCATGTTAGAGACAAAAAATAAGGGATCAATTCGTTCGAGTTATTCTCTCACTGAAAAGTCCACCTCTCCCTGTTTTCCCACATCTCACATCTTCACCTAGTCCTGATTTCTAGCAACAGCTGGCACAGCACAGCGCAGCATCCTTGCCCCTCAGTAGCTAAGTTCAGACAGAATGACTGATGTGGATTCAGCATGGATGCACAATCAGGTACATTCAAACAGTTATTGCCTAAGAGATCTAATACTACAGCGGGTGAGTTGACATTTCCATGGCAGGATGACCCTTTCTTGCTGAAGAAAAGATAATGTGAGGATGTCAAGGTAGGGAGATGGGGGCAATGACCTGGGGCCTGAGGGACAGAGAGACAGCTGAAGAAAGGAAAGAAAGCTTTTGCCAAAGTTGGAGCACTGTTTCCCTGGGGTGCTGTG